AAATATATTTAGTATGTTTTTTTATTGTTTTAAAGAAAGTATTGTATATCTAATATTTTATAAATATTGATCTATTACTATTATTACATTTAAAAAAATAAATTGTAAATTTATTATTGCAACATCGAGAAAAAAAAACATAATAAAAAATTTAATTCGGTATAGTTAAACGGCCTGACTGGCAAGTTTTATTAAGTATATCACAACGACGTTTCGACCACTAATTTGGGTCCTTTTCAAGTTATTTTAACAATGATGGATCATTGTGCGTCAGTTATCGTCAGATTTCATCACTGGCGAATAATTTTTATTGAATAAAAAATTTAATTTATCGGTGTACGTATATGTAATGTATATGTTAACAAGAATTAGATCATGACTTTCTATATTTCATGCAGACTAAAAATAATTCGCAGCTTTGAATAGTAAATTGCTCGAAGTTGGTCACTGGTTACGTAATCATACTTAACGTGGCCGAATGTAGCAAGTCAGCATCACATCGCGCAACAGTTAAACGCATTCACATACTGTACACTTCGTTTTCTTCATTACGTACTCAATATAATTTATCATGTGACATCTGTGAGTCTAATTTGGACGGAAGAATAACTTGACGAAAGTTGCTACGTTGTTTTTTCGCTCTCATAAATATTGAAAGTGTTTTTTCTTCCTCTTACTTCTTTAATTTGCATGTTATTTCTACGTTGTGTTCAACGCAGGTCAGGTCAGGTTAAGTACATGTATAATGGAAAGAAAGAAAGGGAAGGAAAAAGATGCTAAAAAACTACAGTTCAAAAGTCTATTTAGTTTAGCTGCATTCTCTACATTTCTTTTTTTCTTTTGTTTTTTTCTCTAAAACCAGAAACTTCATGAGTACAGCTATATAAGAAGAACAAATTTATATATTTAAACAGCATTAATAAAAATTAGTATAATAAAACAATTATTACTAAGTTCCTCTTAAAAAAAGTAAAAATTTTTATCTGTGTCTATATATAAAAATTGTAATTATGTAGTTTCTTTCGATGCAACATGATAAGATTATTGTATACACATTTTATACGTATTATTTTTTAAACATAGATGAACTATTGTTATTATCATTGATCTTAAAAAGTATTACATCAACATTTTTAAAATTTCCTTTTACTTTGCAACTGTTATATTAGTGTTTATTACAGAAATGTTTTTATTACAGAAACTGCCTGTAGGTACATTTTATAAAAATTATATTAAAATTTTTTCAATATAATTATTATTAATTATAATTATCTTCAATTTGTATAGAAATAAATTTGTAAAATTTACGAACAAAAAAAAAGGAACAGAAAAAAAGGAAATCGTGAAAGAAGACGTTTGTCAATTGGGCGATTAATCCCGCTGATTTCGCCCATAATTGACCAACTGTTCCGTACTTATAATCCGTATTCATAATGCCAGAAATTTTCAATACATTGAACGCCCGGTTGGCTTGCTGATTGGTTAGTTTAGTTCATCCTCATTCGAGAGAAATTTGGCAACGTCGCTAAAGCTTTAACTTCTCTCCTTCCTCACCCCGCCATGCCGCGCCGGTGCCCGGTACCCGACTGTGGTGCTTAGCAACCAGTGAGGTCAACAAACGAGGTCAAGTTATACATTAACCTCGTCACGAGAAAATATTACTGCCGTATTGCTGATAAATTATATTATCATGTACCCTTAACCATCCTTAATTACTGTTCGAGTGATATCGAACATCTATTTGTCATCCATGCAATAAAAAACCAAAACGTCAAAGAGAATTATTCACGTGTGTGGCTTGAGGAAGGAATAATAATGTCATTTCCCTCAATATTTTTCTTGCAAGCAAGAAACAATATATCATATATCAAGTTTAAAAATATAAAAAGAGTTCACATAGGTCAAATAGTTTCTATGGTAAAATAGCTATCACTGTTGGAGACTGCTTACAGCTGTACAGCTGTAAAGCAAAGGAAAATAGAAAGGAAAAATAAAATAAAGGCACCGTATATGGAGAAAAGAGAATTGGACGGTTTGTATTGAAGCGAGAGTCGCTATTTTAATGGTAATGGTGAACGCGTAGAAGCTCTAGGTATACATATAGATAGATCTCTGGGGTAGATACAGGACGAGAGAAGAGGAACCCGGGAGGAGTGAGGAAATGGATGGTATGCTGGGCGCAGCGGGGGTAGATCCTCTCCTTCCCCCAGCTCCCCGCTGCATTACCAAGCATTCGCTCTCTCGGCTCTCTGTTGAGTCAGTCGTTTCTGCTGTTCCATCACGTCGGATGAGGACAAGCAAACCCGCCAGCAACAGCAGCGACCGATTGACCAGCAACAGCAACACACAGGCGCAGTACTGGCGTGGAAAATTCCACTCCTATTTCGTCTCCACCCTTCGCAGCAGGAGGGGCAGAATAGAGAATGAAAGAGGGGGAAGAGCTATTATTTTTATTGCGTTCTCTGCAAGCGCATTAACCCACGGTTGTGGTTGAGTAATATTAGCTTGTACTCGGTTATTGCATTCCCGTTGGCTATAGGTACAAGCCAACATGCACATGCGACTATATATTTCGTTATTATCCTGAAACGTTGCTTCACGTAATTGTTCCAGCACAGAAACTGGGATACAATATATCATATTGCATTACCTGAATATTGGAATCGTTGCAAATACTTGATATGATTCATGCAACTAATAATAAGTTGTAATGAACACATTATCCTTTACAATAAACTGTAATACTTCTAAATATTTCATTATATTATTATAACTAATATTTCATTATATTATATTAGTAGTGCCTTAAAGCAGATATTGTGAACAGTTTGTAGTAGTAAAATGAAAGAATATTTTCTTCCGTTAACAAAAAAGCTCAATCGATTTTTAAAAAGTTAGTCCGGGTTCAGGTAATCGAGTTTTAGAATATACATCATTTATGTTTACAATTGCATTAATGAAGACTATATAAAAATTATAATTTCTATTACAATATATGAAGAACGTAAACTATCACGCAAATTCGTCAAAACGAATAAAAAGTACGTACATAGCGTAATGGAAAAAAAAGAGCAGGGATTTACGAGTAAATTCAAAACTGAATTGGAACGGAATGCCATTATAATAAGCTCGAACACATTGTAGATGTAGTCTCATAATTATGATGTTAACGAAACACCGTCGAGAATCAAGCCTTTTTTCCCTCTTCTTTCTCCTTCTCTTTCTTTAACCGAGCGAAATAACTTAATTAAATAAAACTCATCAAAAAGAAATCGAGCTTAGAATCGGCTTTTGAGGGGAAGTAACAGAGGGAAATGGTGGGTCAATGCACGTTACGAGCATCTTCCATCTCTTTCACTCTCTCTTTCTCTCCCTCTCTCTCTCTCCTTTTCCCTATTCTCAACCTCCTCCTCTTCCACCTCTCTTTTTCTCCTCCCACTTCCGTACCAAAGTTACGCCGCTACTATATCGTAATAATCTTGCCTGCTCCATAAAGGGGATTACCTTCTCTGCGCCAAACTAACGCAGTCATTGCTCATACTAGTACGAAGTTTCTACTAGCCGTAGAACAGAAGTTATGTGGCGGAGTGGGGGAATGGGAAGGATCGATAGTCAAGTATTTCTCGGGATGTAAATACCAGTGGCAACCGGGTGCATAGCATATTGGACCACCCAATTGCATGCTTGCAGCTTCACAGCGCTGCGCTGGGTTGCAGCAATATCCGGTTGGCTGATGATACCGCTCTCATTAGCTTTTAAGCAATAGCTTGCAAATATATACCATTGTATTAACTCACTAATAGATAAATAGCAAGATATGATATGAGTTTTTCTGTTGCCGTGAAACGGGTGAGGCAACCAATTATTAATGACCTTCGTAATGCAATCAAGAGCAATTTGTAGACAACGAGCGAAGCGTTGCGAGACGTTCTTCGACAGATTTCTATTCACCGTAAATAACTTCATTAGAATATCATCATAAACTACTTTGTGATGCGCATATTTTATTATATCAACAATTACTTTTTTGAAATATACATAACTATAACACTTCACTCGTTTTCTTTACTTGAATATACAAAGGCGTCGCCTTTCCTTTCTTCTCTCCAGGGGCGTGGCACATACAAACAAGTTCAACAATTATTCTACTCAACCCAAAGTCTTTTTCTTGAAATCCACCAAATTAAACATAGACTCGATCCCCCAAAAAAAGATAAGGTTCTAAATATACAATCCAGGCATTGTGCTACTCTCGAATATCTGGGACCGAGATTCGTTACGATCAATAGACTCGGCAGATTCGGCCGTTTTCGACATGTTCCGTTAAGTTCCCCTACTATATTCGTCCTCGTCGACCTCTAACCATTATCGGCCACGCCTTGCTCGTATGAATTCCATCAGCTAAACTGGTTATTCGGGATACAATTATACCATTTGCGCACTATAGATTTTCCTTGTAAAACTGTTTGAAAAAAATATCTTTTCCACTTATTTTTTCCACTATACAGGGTGATTCATTTTAAACAAGACGAGTTAAATATTCTTCAAAAAAATGTTTCAAACGAAAGTTTTACATCACAGAAAAAAAAGGAATATTCTTGATTTGAAACAATCTTTAGTTTCAACGTTGGAAAAGTTGGAAATCTTGAAATGAGATTATATTGCGTTAAACGAAGAAAATTTTCTTGAA